CTGATTTTCTATCTCTATTAATTTCACTGTCTTGGTAAAAATTCTTGCATGTTTCACCGGAAGTCAAATAGCATTTCATGAATAATTATATTCAATTAAATGTCATTCGAAGTACTTTTTTCTGGACTATTCTAGAAGGGTTGAGGTAGGCAGTTGAAAGAAGACTTCGACTAAATCAAGGAGGCTTCCTGATGGGGTGTTTATGCCCCGACCAAACTTTCACTCAGCGTAGGATCAATGAACAATTCTGACGGTTCCAGCTGCCTTGGCTCACCTGTTTCCCCCTGTATTTCATTCACCTCATCGTCCGGCCTTTGCGAAAACCTTGAAATGCTCTGGGATGCCTCAGCACATTGTTTTCATGTTGGAAGAGATGTATGGAGAAGCCTTGTCTGCTGCCAAAGTTCAAAGAGTGCTATTTCAGTGGTTTTGTATAATCTATTGAGCTCGCCATGGTGATGTGCCTTCGCCTTTGCTAGTCATCATTTTCTCGAAATTCTTCTCTGAAACACACTTGGAAAAGATGAAGGTCTCATTGTGGAGAGAAGTCACAATTCAAGATACCAGATGGATATTTTGTTAACCGGATATCTCACACAACAGGTGATACTGCCCTGGTGAGTAACATGGGTAAGCGACTTCTGTTACCTGACGGCTTGTGTATGCAACACATCTGCAAAAGTCTACCTCTTCCTTAACGTCCTGAAGTTAAAAGTTGGAAGCAACCCTCACAGCACAGTTGATCCACTATTAGAACATGAAGGTGAAGCGTTTCAGGTGATTAACCAATTTGAATAACTCTGTTTCTTCATGAAGAAGAAATTATTTAATCAGTGTTGAAGAGAAGAATGGCTCTAGCCTCAAGTGGTTTTGAAAATCTGTCCAGTATTTGACCTGAGAAAGGAGCTACCTTCGCACCAAAACCTGCCTGTACGCTGGTCATTACAGGAGACAATTATTCTAATGAAGAAGCGAGAACGGCGGTTGATCTGCATATAGCAGTGTTGGCTACAATGCATAGCGAGGGATATATGGCAGAACAACGTATGGGATGACTCTTTGAGGCACAAGTTACTCCAATGGATGTAGCAATTAGGACAGGGAAGTTCACCCTGTTCACCATTTAATACACCATTTACTGCGGCCCATGTGCTTCCCTTGTGGGAGACAAAATTCAATAGATATCATTGCGCATGCAAAATATATACGTACATGCATACCTATATAATCACCTCGCACTGTCATGCATTATGAATACTGAAGAAATCTCGTCTTGAAGTAGTTACAACGAGTATTGAAATATGATACGTGTCCCTCTAGTTTTTCCTGCGGCGAAATGACTATTCTTAATTCTTCACCTGAGTGCTAAACGTAGGGCGATTCAAATGGACTTACTCCGCATTTGAGACTTTTGATTATATAATATATTCTTATAAGCATGACATTGTTCTTAAAGACATGTATAACTCTGTTTTTCATAAGATCAATGCTGAAGGCTAGGTAAGATACAAGACAGGATTCAAAACAACTTCAAGAATAAGCCACGAAACAGGAACATATCCGGTATCATTATTTTACCTGTGAGCTAGAATCTAGAACATCTGGATTCCATTTTGTGACTCTTTCACTTACGGATCGTGAGAGGGTTCTTTGGTAGAACGTACTTTTATTCAACGTATGTTGGAGACGCAGTCCTGCGTCCTATGCACCGCTTGCGCTAAACCATGGAGTCGTGGTTTTCTTAAATGGCCCC